AAGGTGGATGGAACTCCTCAAGGACTATGATTGTGACATCCTATACCATCCAGGTAAGGGCAACGTAGTGGCCGATGCCCTCAGCAGGAAAAGTGCAGGCACCTTAGCCCATCTGATAGTTTCAGAATGTAGGTCCATTGGGGCTACACAGCAGGTTCGCCTGCGAGATCTGAAGAGAGTCACATGTTTGGGCCACCTAGCAGTCCAACCCGAGTTAATCCAAAGAATAAAGGAAGCACAGTCAGTCGACCCCACCCTAGTAACCCGCAAGAAGGATGCAGAACATGGAATGAGCTCAGAATTTCAGATCTCTGCCGACGGATTGATTCGTTTCAAGGACAGAGTGTGTGTCCCAGACGACAGTGAGTTAAAAAGAGACATCATGACAGAGTCCTATAGTTCAAGGTTCGCCATGCATCCAGGAAGTACGAAAATGTACCAAACTATGCGACCTCGGTTCTGGTGGAATGGGATGAAGGGATATATAGCCGACTTTGTATCTAAGTGCTTGGTATGTCAGCAGGTCAAAGCAGAACATCAACGCCCAGGCGGGTTACTTCAGCCTTTATCGATTCCAGAGTGGAAGTGGGAACACATCACCATGGACTTCGTATCGGGACTACCCAAGGCACGATCGGGACATGATGCTATATGGGTAATTGTTGACCGACTCACTAAGTCTTCCCATTTCCTGGCCATCAGAATGACTGATTCTTTGGACAAGTTGGCAAGAATGTATATCCGGGAGATAGTCAGACTGCATAGAGTTCTAGTGACAGTGGTATCCGACAAGGATCCCAGATTCACTTCTCGCTTTTGGAATAGTTTCCAGCAAGCTATGGGAACAAAGCTGTCTCTTAGTACTGCCTTCCACCCCCAAACCGATGGAAAATCAGAGAGGACAATTCGTACGCTGGAGGATATGCTCCGAGCTTGTGTTCTTGATTCCGGGGGCCATTGGGATGACCACCTACCTCTGATAGAGTTTGCTTACAACAACAGTTACCAAGCAAGCATCGGCATGGCCCCATACGAGGCGCTATACGGGCGTCCGTGAAGGTCACCGATTTGTTGGGAGGAAGTGGGCGATAGAAGATTGTTTGGCCCGGATTTGGTAGAAGAAACCACGTCCAAGATAGTTAAGATCAAGAAGAACATCCAGACAGCTCAGAGTAGGCAGAAGAGTTATGCTGATACCCAGAGGAGAGACCTGGCCTTTGAGAAAGGCGACCGGGTGTTTCTTAAAGTCACCCCCTTCAAGGGAATTAATAGGTTCGGCAGGAGGGGAAAATTAAACCCCAGATATATTGGACCATTTGAAATTTTAGACAAGATTGGTACCACTGCCTACAGACTTGCACTGCCTCCTGAGCTCTCCCGGGTTCATAATGTGTTTCACGTATCTATGCTACGTAAGTACAATCCGGACCCTTCTCATGTCTTGGTTCATGAACCGCTTCCACTCCGAGAGGACTTGTCTTATGAAGAAGTACCGGTCGGTATCACGGACCGAGAGAGCAGAATACTCCGCAACCGGGAAATATCATTTGTAAAAGTCGTGTGGCAGAACCACACGCCCAGGGAGGCTACTTGGGAACTGGAATAAGAATTTAGGGCCCAATATCCCCATCTGTTCGATCAAGAGTAACGAGGCAAATTTGGGGACCAAATTTCTTTAAGGGGGGGAGAGTTGTAGCGCCCGGGAAATTGAAGAAAAAAAAAAGAGGGCCACGTCAGCAGACCCAGTCAGCAGTCCCGGCCAACCGGGACCTGCCACGTGGCAAGACCACATCGATCCGGGACGGACCACGTTGGCGATCCGCGTATGTGCGATCGGACGGCCCAGATGCAATCGCACGGACGGCCCAGATTCAATAAAAAACGGACGGCCCAGATTAAATCAAAATGGACGGCTGAGATCAAAAGGCAAAAGGGTATAAATAAGACCCCCACACCAGACCACAAAACCCTAGCCGCCTGCCCTCGCCGGAGAAGACGAACCAGAAGCCGGCCGCCGCCACCCGCCGCCGCACCGGAGGGACTTCCGACCGTCGATCGAGGTAAATTTCATACCTTACTCGTTTTTCCACGCTGATTTCCCCTGTGGCCAAATCGGAGCCAAAATCCCGGCCAAACGGCCGGAAAACACGGCCGAAACCCAGCGGCGCCGCCGCGTCCCTCCTCAGTTTTTGCTTCCGATGAGGCCCTTTCCGGCCTCCGTTTAATGCAATTTTTATATCACCGTGATCACCATTCTTTTCTCTACAGGTTGATCAGAGCCGAATCACCAAAACATGAACTTCACCAGAGAGCGGCCGCACCCGAGAGCACCGCCGCCGGTAAGCTTTGGTTTTCCGTAATTTTTTGGCCCCCCGAGGGCCCTAGAGTTGTTTAATCGCAAGGATCGATGCAAGTGTGGCCGAATTTGGTCAAAAACAGCCAAACCGAGGCAAATTGCCACTGCAAGCGGCGGTGCCGTCGCCGGAGCACGGCGGAGCCACCGTGCCGGAATTGCGATATTGGCTGAAAGGGGCCCTGGGCCTAATTTGGGATTTTTTGGAACACGTACAGGTACCAGTAGTGCGTTTCAGTTTCTCGGGAAAAATTCAGAAAAAATTAGGGACAGCCTGTAGGCGCACTATAAAGCCGTGTTCGGACCCCGAAACAAGTAAGGACCCCTCACCCTATTTCCTATCACGGTATTAAAGTTCAATAATGATAAAACGGTATTTCTTGAATCAACGAATGTGTGAAATTGCTTAAGGTCGCTAATGGAGCCCGAGTCTAGTGTGTTTGTCGTTTAACTGTTATTTGGCCTGTTTTACAATTTTAAATGCAGTATGAGATTTGATGTTTTCATTTTATAGTTTCGTGTGCATATTTTACTGTTTTATTGACTATGGATTGAATGACTGGGATATTGATGCTGTATGTTGTCCGTTTGGCGTAAATTACCGTTTTGTTTGTTTGTATGTGGATTGATGATGCTGACCGAGGAAAATGAGAATCAAAGATTATGTAAATGGGTAATCGTATAATGTGGTCAGCCTGACTAGATATCCTGGGAGATGGTGGACGGACCGGGTCCGTAGGAAACCCTATCGGGATTGTGGTCTCCCATACCGGACGGGGTATGGAGATCTTATGTGTTTTGGCGCCCATACCGGACGGGGTATGGGGATGGCCCGTTTCACCCTCATACCGGATGGGGTAATGAGGTTTATAGTTTTGGCGCCCATACCGGACGGGGTATGAGGACGGCCCTGGAATATGATTTTAAGTGTTAAGGGTTAACGGGTAGCGGGACCCCTATGGATCCCCATGGATACTAGTGGGCTGGTAAATGAGGAAAATATATTGTGTAACGATTGAATTACGAAAGGCTTGATAAGTATTACGTTATACAGTTTATATATGATTTCATGATGATGATGATGTTATTGCTTTCGTATATTGTTTTATGAATTTCACCGAGGTAAGTAAATGGTAAAGGTTTTATTATTGATAAAAGGTTTTGTTGTAAATTATGCTCCATTGGTCTTTTTGTGTTTTCTACCCATCTTTACCTCCGTGACGGTGAGATATCGTGATGTCTTTACTGGGCTAGTGTAGCTCATTCCTTATTAAATCATTTCAGATCAGGAAGACATTGTTCCCGAGCTGGTTCCGCATGAGGACGACGAAGGGGACGCCTAAAGACTCCATAGTCATATTCGTAGCTTTTACTTTCAAGTTTCTCCTTTAGGTAGTTTGATCTTTTATATTGTGAGCACGTTTTTTGTTTTAGTGTAAGGGATGTTAATCGAATTTTTGACTTCGCTTCCGCATTTGATATTTTGAATATACATTCCATTCTAAATTTCCGGGGTCGTTACAGGTCAGGCTAGTTTCAGCCAGTTATAGGTGAAAACTTGCTCAATTTGTGGTTAGGTGGCGTCTGTTGGTGAAAAATAGGAGAAAATCGAAGCTTACCAGTGGTTCTGGCTTTCTGGTGTTGTGGCTCCGCCGAGCTCTGCCGCTTCTTGATCACGGTCGCAAATTTCCTTCAACTACCCTACATTGAAAAGCATGTTAGATGGCTTAGGGTCGAGAAATGGAAGGAACAAAAAAAGGGTTCGGGCTCATTAGAGTGTTTTTCAGTTTGGGGTGCGGCAGCTCAGCCGAGCTCTGCCCTCTGTTTTTGGCTTCCCCTTGGGTTTTCCTGCATCAAGAAGGATTTTGGATAGTTTAGAATGAAAAAACAGGACGAATGAGGGAAAATTGCGCTTATCAGCATCAATTTGGGTCTTCGGTGCGACGGCGACGGCGACCGACTTCTCCTCGGCCCGCCCTTTTCTTCTTCTCTGGTGAACTAGTGTGCGGCTAAAGTTAGGGTTTCAGTGGAAGAGGAGTTTAAATACTCCTCTTTTCTTGATCTGAGTCGTCTGTTCGGGGATACTTAGAACAATGAAGGCTATCCGATCGTGCCTAATGGAGGAACTGATCTGGACCGTCCAATTAGAGACACGTGGGCCGTTCAATCGAGCCTATTTAGGGAATCGATCTCGACCATTCATACACGTGGGAGTGGCCTTGAACTGTTCGACCCGCGTGTCAGGCCAATGGATTAGGACTTGCGTGGCTTCCCATGTGGAACCATGCTGGCGTGTTCGTCACGTGGCGCACGACGATTCGTCGTGCTGCTGACGTGACCATCCTACATGGTTGCATTTCTCTTTTTTATGATTTAACTCATATTTTTTAATTTTCCTTTCAAATATACTCTCTCCTTATCTACAATTTAGCCCTGACTTTTTGAAAATTGTTTCAAACATGTTCAAGATGCATATAACTCATAAATTCTAAAAAAAATTAAAATTATCAATTTTTATAATTATTATTTAGAATAAATTTTGTTATTATGAGACTAAATTTCGAGCTCGAGGTGTTACAGGAAGAGGTTGGAGAAGAGGAAATTGGGGAAAAAAAGAAAAAAGATGATTAAAAACTCCAAAAATGGAAAAATAATGATGAAAAGAGAAGAAAATAATAATTGCTGTTTTTGTTGTTGTTGATAAAATTACAAATGGGAATTACAGTATTTGTTTGGCTTGGGTGGGAACCAGAGTAGAACAAAATTTTCTTTCTGCCAAAAAAGAAACTTTCTTTCGACAAAGAAGGGGCAAAATCAGTTTAAACGACGCCATTGACTAAATTTCAAACTTCTAGAGCCGCTCACCAGACAGGCGGACAGATAGCCACAGCCATAGCCACAGCCATAGCCATAGCCATGGCCATGGCGAGAGGAGTAGAGGAACTAAGCGAGGAAGAAAGAAGAGCTCTGAGAGGGAGCAAATTTGCCCCTCTCCCTTCTTTGCCCACTTCGTCTCATTCTCAATCCAGGTATATAAATATTGCTTTCATCTATTAATCATTCTTCTTAGAAGGAGAAGAAGACTATTGACGATAAAAATCGATTTAATGGATTTGTAATATAATATATGTATATATACAGATTGGCACATCCTGGTGGACCCATGACAACGAACAAGGCAGCCGCTCTAGCCAAGTTTCTTGAAAGGAAACTTCAAGAACCTAATGGGTTAGCCTCGATTGACCCCGATCTTATTGAATTGGCCGTTAAAAACGCCAAAGACACCGTCATATCAGGTTTTTGTGTGTTTCGCATTACATTTTTTTTGTTTAATTTGAAAAAAAAGAAACTTATTTTTGTTGCATTTAGTTTGACTCGGTACAAAAATTTTGTTGCAACTTGGAAGTTTTGGATTTTGTAACATTCTAGGTCAAGATATGGTCAAAATTTGGGGATATTGATACACCATATGAGTACAAGGGATTTGGAATTTGCTTCAAAGTAAACTGTTTGGACGTGAGATTGTTTATGTTGAGGGCTAGAATATGGGATTGCTTTGCTTTATAGGTAACAAATTGATTGTTGTAGTTGATGTCAGTTCGTTAATATCAAGCCAAGCCTGTTGCTTAGTCAGGAAATTATATTATCTCTCCAAGATGGTGCCTCCACTAGTACTTGAAATGGAAATCATTGATCAATTTATATTGCTTTTCCTTTTTTAATAGATAGCATTTCTCTGTTCTGTAGTCTAAGAGGTGGAAATGTGGAGGCTTGGTAGTGACACCCTCCTTAGCCTAGTCCGTTCATGCTTCTTTCCCTCGTGTCAAGTATAAAACTGTGCATCTATTTCCTCGGTTCATATTTCAAACGAATCAGATTTAGATTCATCTTATGAGGTGGTGAATGCTGATTAGGACGATGTATATCAGATTGTATAACAGTTCATGTTTTTTGAACTGCTTGTGTCTCTTTGCTTCTAAATGGGATGGGCCTGTAGGGGCCATGATATTGAGTGTTGATTCAATGATACATCAAAAAGTTACTGAATGCCTGATCTGATGATTTGATATGGACAGTTATATCAACCAAATGAGGTTGGTACTACTAATTGATTTTCAGGGGCTATGGAGTTGATATTCTGATACACTTGTTTCTCTGTCATTAAAAGATGGTTTTAACCGAATTGTTGTGAAATCAAAATCAATGTCTGATTTCCTAAGTTTTTCTGATATACCAGGTGGGTCTTCAACGTCAGGAAAAACAATTCGGCATGTAACCTCCTTTGCTGACTTTGAGGTTTGTTTGTTTGGTATTTCGTGATCACCATTGGCAAACCTATTCTGTTCCTCTCTAATACTTTGGAGGGCATTCACAGGAATCTTCCGAAGAAGCAAAAGTGCAGAAGTCTGAGCACAAGAAGAAGAAAAGGAAAAAGGAGAAAAAGAAGGGGAAGAAAGCAGAGAAGAAAAACAAAAAACAGAAGGTTATTTCTTATTGATGCTTCTGGTATTTGCTTTGTTTTTCTCTGTTTGTTTTCGCCTTGGCTTCAACTCTTACATGGTGGGAAATTTCATTTTGTTACAGTTGGTGGATGATGCAAATGCCACATTGAAAAAATCCAAGAAGTTGAAATTGTAATTAGTTTTAGTTTTAGGTGTTACCTGAATTTCTTAGACTTTTAATAGCTGATCAACTGAAGAAATGAGCTGTAGGTCTAATCAAATGAAACAGAATTTTGTCAATGGAAAAATAGAATTGTCAATCCTCTTGAAGGTTGAAGGGGTCTAAACTTAGCTTATTCACCATCCTCTAAATTTTTTGTCCCTTGAAAAATTCATTTTTTTTGCTTTGTATCTTTAGATCACTCTGTATTTCGTACCCTCCTAACAGATTGATTGTGGTGAAAGTGGATTTGAATGTAGATCCTATTGGTTGAAGTAATTCCCCTCCATTTATGTTTCAATTTGTTTGTTTTCTTTCCTCTGTATTTCTCTCTTTATTAATTTTTGTTCAATCACTAAGGTATTGGAGAATTATCATCTGCCTGCTGGTCGGATGTAAGGAATCCTATATTAAATACATATATTGAATTTCACATATTATCTATGTTTTACATAAATATATATAACTAACTAATATGTCTGATCTATTAAACGAATTTAAGTGAATTTAATTCGTTCATGAGACAAAATCATTTAAATTAGCAAATACTTTCTAAAGTTCTAATGCTATGTATGAAAAATGATTTTGTTACAAATTTTTTGTACTTATGTTTTAGAGTGTGATTATGCACATGACTCACAATATCATGGGGTTATAAATGTAAATTAAAACTAATGTTTGGATCATGAAGTAATTATGTTGGTCTTTTTTTATAATTAAAAATTTCTTGCAATGCAAACATGTCTTTAAAGGTTATTTGGTATGTGCATTCATGTATGTGTGTGTATATGTTACATGTTTTTTCAATTCTAATCCATATATGGTCATCTGCTGAACTTGAATAACATAAATTAAGGTATGCATGTATAAAGGGGATATATATACATATATATGTAATTTGCTTTATATCAAATACTTCCAAGTAAATCTATATTTTCCTTCACCTATATATATACCACCACAAGAATATTGGTATTTCTAAATTTTAGGTCAAGTATATTTATTAGTGTTATATACACATTTATTATTGTATCAACATCCATTTGGATTACCACCCAAAACCCGCTGTGAGTAATTCTTAGCTTGACATGCATACATTTAAGGCTCCCACAACTCAAAACATCAATGTAAAAATTACCCTAGTCGTATGAGATTCATAGAAGTAGTGTTAAATTGTAGTCTTCAATCTCTTTAGAAAAATAAATAGTAAACATTCTAAACTAACAAAGAGTATATCAAAAGTACAATAATCAAACAACTGAAAGTCACTTTCTATTATTTTGATTTATTCGTTCTCTGAATGAGAATTTCATAAAATGAAACATGAACAAAAACATACTCCACCATTTACTCATCCTCCGAAAAAAACTTATAAGAAAATAATATTCTTAACATATATTTGAAATATTCATAATATGAAATTAAATAATTAGAATTCAATAACATAAGATGTAATATAGTAATATCCATACATATTCTTAACCGCGAAAACTATATCCTTAAACTGATTAAAATAAGTGATAATTTTATTAATATAGGTCATCCATCCATGGGGCATCCTAAAAATTACTTACAAATATCATAATCAAAACTATCTGGAATCCTTCTTAAACTAATGAAAATTTACAAATCATGTAACATCTATTAAACCCAAAAGAAAAAAAGAACATTTTATCATACAATAGGCCCAGTAGATACATATTACAATATGCAAGAGGAGAGCTGTTAGCTTCACATCTTGATACATTCCCTCGTTCTTGATGCAGGCGCCTCATAAAACATAAAACATATAAGAAAATTTTTACGTGGAAATTGCATTGAATAATTGAAAATGATACAGAGTTCTATTCAATATTACAGGACTTTACAGACAACAAAATCAAGCAATCAGGTATCAAAGGTTAAGTAGGTATAAGTGCTAATATCTGGTTTCTAATAATTCCCATGCATTTCTGAATCTCTGCATAAATTGGAAGGTTCTGTGAACAACATGGCTGCAAACTGGTGACAGCCGAATCTAGAACCTGCGCGACTTCACCCGGTGGAAACTGTCTTTCTGTACACTTCTGCAAATTTCATTGTGCAAAGAGCCATATGATTATGTTTAAAATTGCAAATTTGCTTGGCATGGCAGTCAAATGTAACTATAGAACTCATGTCAAGATAGGAAAAAAAGTCCATCTATGTAAATATATACAAATATATATATATATATATATCAATATAAAAACAAACATTTTCATGAACTTCCAAAATCAAGATATGTATTTAGAAGTTCAAAAATCAATTCAATTGGTCAAACTGAGAACATAGGTTCTGTTTCTGCGAAATCGTAAATGTTGTTTCATTTAACTAAATAGTTAACATAATATGATGACTTCAACAAATAAGTAAACCAATTTATCATGATGCTAATGATTTTTCAATGAACTAATATTTGATAATACAAACAATCTTTTTTAATTTTATTTTTTATATAAAAAAGATAGGGTTATTTTTTAAGAGGTAAGCAAAACTTCAAGGGAAAAGAGATCGAACAAGTAAAACCAGCTGCCATGCCTCATTCACTAACCATGAAGCTGTCCGCTTGGTTTCATAAATCAGCAGCCTATAGCACTCTTATAAAAGATCCATCCCACTCTTAAAATGTGTTTACTGATGCTAATATTTCCAAATTTTAACTCGAAGTTACCATAATCTTCAACATAATAATTTCATTTGATCATTTTCAACTTGGTGATATCAAAGAGGCATAGATGTCAAAACAAAGTGCCAGGCATATGACCTGCAGAAACAGCCCATCGGAAAGCTGCATGATATCCAACTTTCTGATTCAGACATTCTGAAATTTATCATGTCTACATAAAAGTAAATTACTTGCAGCAAAAGTTCACGAAACCATTATTAGAATTTACCTGAATCATGAGCAGAGTAGCTACACAGCGTCCAATAAGTTCCGAAGGTATTTGTGCCTCATTTTGATCAGATATATTCACCCGAGAATCAGCTGTATTGGTAGTTGCTAATGGATTGGATATGCAGGGAGTTGGCTCATCCTGAGAAGCTGTCCTCTGAACCGGGTTTGCAGGTATATTATCCATTGAAAGCTGATTATTTACAAAATCTATAGCTTCCTCAATCCTGTCAATATTACTTTGCTCATTTTTCAATGAAGCCACCGCCTGAAACAGGTAACATGTGTACTCAGAGACATGGCATGCTGAATTTAAAATATTGGAGCAGCCACTCTGTGCTGTCAACTAGATCCCTTATATGAGAATACCCAATGATTGAAGAACGAAACTATTAAATCATCATGAACCTAGGATGCCTGGATGAGTTTTAATTTATTTGAAATAAACTGGGAGCCAATAGTGCGATGACCATTTTATGGTTATAAAGGATGCAGACCTCAAAATCAGAAGACTGACAGCCAGTTATATAATTTGTTTAACAACAAATAATAGTCACAAATTAGAAAGGATGCATGAGAAAGCATTAGCAGTAGTCATTAAACATTATGCACTTGCAGGCATAATATCTGAAAAAAAGGGACCAGCCAGGTATGTAAAGTTAGATGGCCAATAAGGACCTGTAGAGCAGCATCAACCATTGTTTGGGCTTTCGTTCTTGAACTTTCAACAATTTCAGCCACATGAGATCCAGGTTCTTGGGGATGAGAAGCAGAACGATCAAATGAGCTTGGCTGACTACCAGGGTCACCTAAAGTATGTGTAGGTTGCAACCATATATATGATGAATTCCCTTGATACCCTTGATAAGTGTTTCTTTGCCTCAAGCGGAAGAGAGCAGAAGAAACCTACACGTGCAATCATGTCAAACAACTGTTGCATAGATTAGAAATACTTGGCATATAGATTTTGATGATTGGTTTAAGAAGAATCATACCTGTTCATTGACTTCGCTCAGCTGAAACAGAACTGCAGCATATTGCTTCTTGAAGGATTCCGAGTCCTTGAGAGAGTTGTGTCCATCTTTTTGGCTTTCCATCACCTCATCATTCATGCGCTTCAACTCTGAAACCACAGCCTCCTACAGATTCTTACATGACCCGTCAGTTTACTCATACCAATGGACATTGAATAGGATTTCTATCAGGTTCAGATAACAAATTCATGACAGAACATAATATAGGCTACAAGGGATGCAACTAAAATATTAGGCCTATCTTCAAATAAATAAGATTGGCTATCAACAATCCTTCTCTAAAGTTGAGAAAATCTTAAATGAAAATTCACATCTTTGTTTTGGGTGGACTCAAATTAAAATTTAAAATATACAATTCCATTTAAGGAAGCACAAGCAAATCAAGATTTTGCAATTAAATTGAGACATAATAGCCCAAAGGAGAAGATTACATTTCTTATTTCTTTATACTTCATCAGAATATCCTTCTCTGACCATGAATTTAGGCTTAGTAATAGGTTACATTGCTTGAATGATCCTTGATGAATGAATTCTTTAGCTTTTATGGGTTTCAACTCCTCAACAATCACATCTTTGTAATATTCAGGTACCAAAAGTTTGTTCCTCTTCGTTTACAATTTAATGGTAAAATATTCTTGATGAATCCCGCATTACCTCTCTTTCAATTCAACCATTTTATCTTCATCTCATACGATTATATAAGTATCCATGCTGCTATTGCAAATTTATAGAAGATGGAAATTTTGATTTTAAGTAAAAGAAAAGGCCGACAGAAAATGGAGATAAAATTGTAAACTAGCTAAATTGGTCAAAAGAGGAACACCCTAAAAATGGCAATCAAATATGACAATAGTGTTCATCAATCCAAAGTTAATAATATCAATGCATGAAAAAAATAAATTTAACTAAGCTACTTAAAATGACTGAGCAGACACATCTAAGGCAAATTACTAAAAAGGGCAGAACCTTTTTGTCAAGAGCACGAGTTAGTTCAGAAAGAGCTTGCACGTCAGCTTCCCTGGCCTGGATCTGTGCAAGATTAGAAGACTGAGAATTTAATGCTTGCTGTATGTTAACAATTTCATCCTTGACTTGCAAATTTGAACCTGGCTGACCACCCTATCCAAAACAGGTTTTGATCAAATGGGCAGAATAATTCAGGGTCTAGAGATTTACACAGCTGTAGCTACAGCAACAAAACTACAAATAAATAAATAAAAGCTCTGATCAGAGATGGTTAAAGAAGAGAGGAATGGAGCTAAACATTGATGAAACTGCAACCCTAGTTTAGAAAGATAGATAGGGACTTGCAGCCAAATGTAGATTTT